TCTGCTCCTTACTTCCTTTTTCTAGGTTGCCCGATTATTATGTGAACTTGTCCTATGCCCAGTGCTGATTGATTCAGGGGAACGCACCTGCCCACGCCAATCCAATAAATGTCTTTACACAGATTTTTCAAACGGAGACAGAAAGAGAGTTGAACCAGGCTCTCTATTTGCAAAATATAAAATTTAGGAGCTCCCTGTAACCATGCTTCAGATTATGTGAACTAGAGGATTGGGGGAATTGCTGAGATAAAAGGACAAATCTCAAAGAAACGGAGACATGACAAGAGAAGAGAGTGGTGTTTGAGTTTCTGGCTCCACAGAGTTCTTAAGGCCAATGAGTTCTGAGAGATAGAACTATCTTGTTTATGAATTCCATGAGACAGCCCATAAATCTATCTTTAGGCTTAGGCTAGTTTGAGTGGGGTTTCTGTCACTTGGAACAAGAGTCCTGACTACTGCGGTGGAGTGGAGTTAAAAGGTATAGCCTCAATAGGTGAGCTAACTCACTTTAAAAGGCTTCCAGTTTGAATTACACTCCATTCCCTCTGGTGCCCCTAGAAAGAGCCTTCTCTAACACAGGCCTGGAACTAGCAGACATGCTTTTGTTTTTTTTCTTTGCAGGAATTGTACTGCCTTGATTTGGGACAGATTATCAGAGGTGGGCACCATTATCCTCTCTTTCATGCAGGATTTATCACATGTAAGTATTTGTCTTATGTTTGGATGCTACGTTTTGGTTAGAATTTAATGATCATGTCTCTCATCAAGATTACCCACATGATCACTCTAAGGCTGTTGTAAGCCTAACTGACAAGTATTCCATATGTCAAGATGTCAAGTGCAACCCAAAATAAGATGTAAGCACCACATGGGACTGAGAGAGAAATGCTAGAAATCTTCACCCTTCCTGCCTTTCTTGATAATGACCATGCATCCTGTGAGGGAAATAGTGTTATAGTGATAGAAAGGTAAGGTTCTGAAGTTTGAGGAGATTGGAGGCCAGGTGTGGTGGTTCACGCCTGTAATCTCAGCATTTTGGGAGGCCAAGGTGGGTGGATTGCTTGTACCCAGGAGTTCCAGATGAGCTGGGCAACATTGTGGGACCCCATCTCT